CCACTGCGGCGGGGGCACACTCTGCGAGTAGCGCCCTGTGACTCCTGAGCATTCTTCGACAGGGCCTCTCCAATGGAGCGAGGGCCTCCGAGAAGCCCCGCCGCCTTCTGACAAGGCTGGCACGGCTCCCTCTCACCTCCCCTTCGGCGCGCAGCCAACCTGCCTCATGTTGCATCATGGGGGGACCTTGTCTGTCCCGTCGTGACAATGTCCGCGTCGAATCCGTGTCGAATCCGTGTCGGACTCGTCGGATCCGTGTCGAACCCGCGTCGAATCCACGCCAGCGCCGCGTCGAGTCCGCATCGAGCCAGCGTCGGGCACAAGATGATCCCGGCAAAGCAACCGAACAGCGATGTGCAGGAGCATATCTGGAAACATTGCCTGTGGTATTCATGTAAGAGTGCTGTTGTAGAATTCTGGTGTTCTCGCAGCCGCATTCGGATCCGCAGTGGCAGTCGCAGTGGCAACATCAGCGGCAGTCGCAGTGGCACTGTCAGTAGTTGCAGTAGCAATAGCTACACTAGCAGCAGCAACAGCAGCAGCAGCAGTAATAGTAACACTAGTAGTAACAGTAGAAGTAGTAGTGATGGTACGAATGGTGACAGTGAAGTAGTAGTTGTAGTGTGTGGAGTGAACGTGTAGGAGTGATGGGAGCAGTGGTAGTAGCAGTAGACACACTGCTTTCGATAACGGCATCTCCAAAGGAGATCTTCGTATAAATGCATTGAGGCCTAAACAAGACACTGCTATCAACGGATGTAGGTCCAAACGAGACACTGCTATCAACGGGTTGAGCCTCAGACGAGACACTTGCATCAATGAATGTAGCTCCAAAACAGGCACCCCCATGAATGGATTTAGTGTGATGTCGTAGTAGTAGTAGTAGTAGTAGTAGTAGCAGTAGTAGTAGTAGCAGTCGTAGCAGTAGTAGTAGTAGTAGTAGTAGTAGTAGTAGTAGTAGTAGTAGTAGTAATAGTAGTAGTAGTAGTAGTAGTAGTAGTAGTAGTAGTCGTAGTAGTATTTTTTTTTTAGTTTGTTGTATAGTAAATTAGTAGTAGTAGTAGTAAGCAGTAGCATTAGTAGTAGTATAAGTAGTGCAGAGAGGCTGAGTAGTACAGTACAGTATCAGGCAGAAAATGAGCATCAGGCAGTGATGTAGTAGGTGTAGTAGTAGTAGTAAGTATAGTAAGTAGTAGTATAGTAGTAGTAGTAGTAGTAGTAGTAGTAGTAGTAGTAGTATGTAGTAGTAGTATAGTCGTTGTTGTAGTATAAGTAGTGGTAGTGTGAGTAGTAGGAGTAGTAGTAGTTAGTGGTAGTGGTAGTGATGGTCAGTAGTATAGTAGTAGTAAAAGTAGGAGTAGTAGTAGTAGTAGTAGTAGTAGTAGTAGTAGTAGTAGGAGTAGTAGTAGTAGTAGAAGTAGTAGTAGCAGTAGTAGTAGTAGTAGTAGCAGTCGTAGCAGTAGTAGTAGTAGTAGTAGTAGTAGTAGTATGGGCACGGTCCCGTAAGAACTGAGTCTCCAGCGGGGTGCTCGGCGAAGCCATTGATGATGATGATGATGATGTTATGATTGAAGAGACACTGCCGACCGCCGTAGTTTCGACGCGTCTAGAAAAGCAACTGCAGGGTGAGAAGCACCGCAGGCAAAAAGTGATTCAGTTGCAGCGGCGAGTGAAGCCGCCGTGGAAGCTCGTCGACAGCTGCGGCACTACCTTCGGCACTCATTCCTGCACCTGCTGGATCACGTTATGACGAACAGAGCAAACCGGCAATCGGGTGGCGAGAGATATGACGGGGACATCCAATAAGCAAAATGTGGCCCGATGAACACGAAGTGGCCTACAGTTGGCTCCGGGCATTCAAAATGTAGCCCGGGAATGGAGTTCTGGGAAGTCGAAGAACACGAAGTGGCCTACAGTTGGCTCCGAGCATCCAAAATGTGGCCCGGGAATGGAGTTCTGGGAAGTCGAAGGGCACGAAGTGGCCTACAGTTGGCTCCGGGCATCCAAAATGTCGCCCGGGAATGGAGATCTGGGAAGTCGAAGAGCACGAAGTGGCCTACAGTTGGCTCCGAGCATCCAAAATGTGGCCCGGGAATGGAATTCGGGCATGTCGAAGAGCACGAAGTGGCCTACAGTTGGCTCCGAGCATCCAAAATGTCGCGTCGCCCGGGAATGGAGTTCTGGGAAGTCGTAGAGCACGAAGTGGCCTACAGTTGGCTTCGGGCATTCAAAATGTGGCCCGGGAATGGAGTTCTGGGAGGTCGAAGAGCACGAAGTGTGTGACTGTTTGCTTAAAACGAGCCCGGCCCTGAGCCCGGCCTTCGCTGTCCGGACGCCGCCCAGACCTCCCTTCTGAGTCATCAGATGCTTTCTTTTGACACCACTAGAAACCTATCAGTCTTCGCTGTTAAATAAAAAGATACCAATTTGGGGGACAGGCAAAGCCCCCCGAAGATGCAACTGGAGGTCTCCTAAATGGAGTCGGAGTAGATGGGGTCGGAAGATCGCGCCTCATCGGCGATACATCAGCGATGCATCGGCGATGCATCGGCGATGCATCGGCGATGCACCGACGATGCATCGCCGACGTCGGCGACGCATCGGCGACGTTGACGTGGAGAAAATCGGGTTCCGCATCGAGCCGCATCGGCGATGCATCGGCGATGCGGCGCGATCCTCCGACCCCATCTACTCCGACCCCATCTAGGAGGCCTGGAGCAACGTGACCTGCCCCCCCGCTTAGATGCACGAAGCACTTGCTGAGGAAGAAGTCCTCGCCCCACGTCTGCCTGCAGGCCGGCGGGGGCCGCCAGGCGAGCCGGCGCCGCCGTGGGCGCCGCCGCGCGCGACGGCGACGACGACGGCGGCGGCGACGGCGGCGACGGCGACGGCGAGGATGACGATGACAACGGCGACAGCGGCGGCGGCGAAGGCAGCGGCGGCGAAGGCGGCGGCTACGGCGACGGCGACGACAACGGCGACAGGGCGGCAGGGCGGCGGCGAAGTCGACGGCGGCGGCCACAGCAGCGGCGGCGGCGAAGACGGCGGCGGCGGCGACGGCGACGGCGACGGCGACGGCGACGGCGGCGGCGGCGGTGGCGGCGAAGACGTCGACGACGACGGCAGAGGACGGGTGAGGATGAGAGGAGGGTGGAGAGGAGGAGAGAAGTGGCCGAAGATGGCTGAAAAAAGAGGGAGAATGAGGACCAAGAGGGAGGATGAGGACAACACGTTACATATCGCGCTCCTCAGGTCCACTGCACCCCTGTCCGTCTGGACGCGATCTCGCTCGAATCCTCCGACCACCTGTTCGCGCCTGGCTTGTGAGGCAGAAAACGCAGGGCCGCTGCCATGTCAATGCCTTCCTGCCTTCTGTCTCTTGTCCCACTTCTGCCCCCCTGCTGCCCTCTGCCCAAGGTTGGAGAGCTCTTAAAACGAAGACCATGAACAAGTCTGAACGCGGAAACGTCAGGGCCGATCTTGGTAATCGTCTACCTTGGTCATCGGCAAGTCGTGAATCATCCTCGCGAATCGGCGACGGCCGGCATGGACCATGACCAAAATCGGCATCGACAAGATGCCGCGACAGATTGGTCATGGTCACCGTGTTTTTGTTCGGGGGGGGGCAGAAAAGGGACCAACACATCTGCTCCCCAAGCCTCTCCAGGACGCATTCTGACCAGCATGCCGAAGGGGAACCCAGCCGTGGCGACGAGAACTCTCCAGGCCGAGCAGCGGTGTCGGTAGCTGCTTCTCCTCGGATCTCGGCAGTCGCCGCGGCCGCGCCGCGGCGGCACCTGCTGCACGGAAGGGTCGGCAGGTGGAGGTCGAGGGCGAGGAGGCAAGGATGCAAGGGATGCAGGAGGTGGAGGTGGAGGTGGAGGAGGTCGAGGGCGAGGAGGTGGAGGGCGAGGAGGTGGAGGTCGAGGTCGAGGGATGCAAGGGATGCGAGGTCGAGGGCGAGGAGGTGGAGGTCGAGGTCGAGGGCGAGGAGGCAAGGATGCCAGGGTGCCCTTGGGAAGGCTGCCCATCCTTCCTGTGCGGGTGGACTGCAGCAGCCGCTGCGCGCCCCCCTCGGTGATGGTCATCGTGCTTCTTTCCTCGAAGGGCAGCCTGGAGATGGGCCAAATCAATACATACATAGGCATATACACATAAATAAGTGCTTCGTGTATGTATATATATGTACATACATACATACATACATACATACATACATACATACATACATACATACATACATACATACATGCATGCATGCATGCATGCATGCATGCATGCATACATACATACATGCATGCATGCATGCATACATGCATGCATGCATGCATGCATGCATGCATGCATACATACATACATACATACATGCATACATACATACATACATACATACATACATACATACATACACACACAACCATTCATACATGCATACATACATGCATGCATGCATGCATACATACATACATACATACATACATACATACATACATAGATGCACACATACCTACCTACCTACCTACCTACCTACCTACCGACCGACCGACCGACCGACCTACCTACCTACATTGGGACCTACATACATACAAACATACAAACATACAAACATACAAACATACAAACATACAAACATGCACACATACATACATACACACATACATACATACATACATACATACATACATACATACATACATACATACATACATATATACATACATACATACATATATACATACATACATACATGCATGCATGCATGCATCCATGCATGCATGCATGCATGCATATATAATATATATATATATATATATGCTTATATGCATAAATATACATATATATATATATATATATATATGTATGTACGTATGTAAATATAACTTACAGCTAGAAAATGCCCCCCAAGCCCTGTCCCGGGGGCGCTTGGCCGAGGCAGGCCAGGAGGCGGCAACACGGCACGAGGAACGTCCAAGAGGGACCCCAAGACGTGTACCAGAGCCCGAGGCCGCGATCCCGGATCCTCGACCTCGGATGTCTGAAGAGCCGAGGTGCATACACATGTCTACGCCCTCACGGTCTGGAACCAAAAAACTTAAACCAACACCTGGAGCCTCGACACCAGATCCTCGACCCTTCTTGTCTCAAGAGCCGAGGTACAGGCTTCGACTCAAGCCATTGCCCCCTCAGGCTTCGACTCGGGCAACCTCGATCCTGCCTAGGCAACCTCCTCGGGCGGCAACCCCCTCGAAGAGCATCGCCGATGCACTTGCGATGTATCGGCGACGTCGGCGATGTATCGGCGACGTCCGCGTGAAGCACCTCGGGCTCCACACCGAGCCGCATCGCCGATACATCGGCGTTGCGACGCGATCCTCCGACCCCATCTACTCCAAGCCCACCTAGGAGACTTAGAAAACCAAAATCTGAGGCCTCGATCCCGGACCCTCGACCCGGTCCCGTGGATGCGCGGACGCGTGGCTACGTTCCGCGCGGGGCATCCGCGAACACACGCCATGCTTCGATGGGGCTGCGGACAAGGGGCCTGGCCCGCGAGGCCGTGGTTCCGTGGATATGGTAGAGTAGATGGGGTCCGAGTAGGTGGGGTCGGAGGATATTGCCGCATCGCCGATACATCGGCGATACATCGCCGATGCATCGGCGATGCATCGGTGACGTCGGCAATGCATCGGCGACGTCGGCGTGGGGAAACAAGGTCTGCACATCGACCGCATCGCCGATGCATCGGCGATGCATCGGCGATGCGGCGCGATCCTCCGACCCCATCTACTCTGACCCCATCTAGAAGGCCTAGATCTGGGTGGGTTGCCCGCCCACGAGGGTCTACACGTCTCCAGCCGAAATAGTTTTTTTCAATCCGCAGCCCAGAGGCCCCGACCGCTTCCCCAGGGGTAATTCGTTCGCGCCGGACCGACCCATTTCTGATGAAGCCCGCGAGTGGCCCCACAGGGGCCGAACCCAGGGGAAAACGCCAGGATTGAAAAGAGCACATTGTCGGAGATCTCGGGATCTACATCTCGTCCTCGCGTCTTCCCAGAGGAGCATAAACTGCCTCCCAAATGCCCCAAACGCCCCCGAGACGCCTCCCACGAAACCCCATCTGCCATCCGCGCGACCTCCGACCCGCAGCCCAGGCACCGTGGCGGGATGTGCCGTAGGCGCGTTCGACAATCCAACGAGCTCAAGGAAGCCCGAAAAAATCCCAAGAGGCCCTCAGGAGCAACACAAAACAACCGCCAGTCCCTAGCGGGGTCGGCGGTGCGGCGTAAGCCCAATGATCATCACCTCGTCCTCGCCCACTACGGAGCCGCACGCACGCGCGGCAGCCGAGCAGGTCACGCCAACCAACGCCCACACCTTCCACATTTTAACAGTTTTCCACAGCGGCGATTACCAGTCTGGATCGGCGGCGCGGCGCCTACTCTGCCCGCCAGCAAGCGGGGCAGAGCAAGTCTGCTTTGTCACACTGGGAGCCACAGAAGCCCAGTGCAGACGAGACCCCAAGAAGCCCCCAAGACACCTCCAAGAGGCCACAAAAAAGCCCCGACGAGGCCCCGCAGCGACTGGACTGTACGTGCTCCGGACGTGCCCCCCGCAAAGCGAGAGGAAACCTCGTCCTCGCCCACTCCTGCGCGTTCTGGTCGCCAGGCTCTTATACAAGGGGAACAAAAAGTGACATAAACATAAAAACTCAGAGGTCCGCGCGGATCTGCACGAACAGACTTTTTGGGCGCTCCGCGCGCATGTCTTGGATCTGCGCTGGACCCCTTCCCTGGCGCGGGGAGCGCGCAAGGGGCGGCGCCAGAGGCGCCGCCGGGGGGGGGGGCCAGCGCGGATCCAAGAGATCAGCGCGGAGCGCCAAAAGTTTCTGTCTATGGCGTGTCTTCCTTTTCTGTGGACGGCCGAAATGGGTACGGAAAGAATGGGTACAATGCCCAACAACACATGTTGTCCAAAACCAACAGCGGCCGCTGTTGGGCAGGCGGCCTTCTGTCTCAAATGGACACAGGCCGCGGCGGCGCCGACGGCGAGTCCTGCTCAAAATGAACAGGAACTGCTGTTGGGAATCGTACCCATTCTTTCCGTGCCCATTCCGTTCGTGCCGATTTTCGAGAGAGAGAGAGAGAGAGAGAGAGAGAAAAAACAAAAAAAAAAAAAAAAAAAAAGTCAGCACCTCGCCCATTCCCCGCGCATTTTTCGATTTCGTGCATGCATTTTTTCGCGAGATGGACCAACATGGTCCTCGATGGTCTTCGCCGAGAAAACATGCACACGTCCGAGCGATGCCAGGTCCTTTTCGATAGAGAAGTCAGCGCCTCGTCCTCGCCCCCTCCCCCCGGTGGGCACCAGTCCAGGAAGATCATGCAGGACTCCACCCCGCCCTTCAGCACCTCGCGCGGCGGCCCAGGGAGGCCCGAAGGAGGCCGAGGGGCGCGGACGGGCACGACGCGACGCTTCGAGGAGGAGGAGGAGGAGGAGGAGAAGAAGAAGAAGGAGAAGAAGAAGAAGAAGAGGAAGAAGAAGAGGAAGAAGAGGAAGAAGAATAATAAGAGGAAGAAGAGGAAGAAGAATAAGAACGGTCGAGGAGGAGGATCGAGGCGTAACAACAGGGGACATGTCCACCCATATCCCAGGCTTCGGGAGAGGAGGAGGAGAGCGGTCGAGGACGAGGATCGAGGCTCAGTAGCAGGGGACATGCCGACCCACATCCCAAGGAGGTCTCCACATGAGCCAGGAATCCGGGGCCCGACCCTGGGGTGCACGACGGGGGGGGGGGGGGGAGGGCGTGCACCCTCGACAGAAGTGCGTCCGAGTAGCCCCTCTGGGGGTAAGTCCATCCCGAGTTCCCCTCCTCTCCTGAGCGGCCTCGCTCCTCGTCGAGAAGCTGAGGGCCTGGGGGCGAGGGATCGTCTGCGATGGTCGAGGGGGAGGATCGAGGACCCAGACCACCCCAACCCAACCCGGAGACCCGAATTTCGGGTTGGGGGGGGTACGGGTTCCATACGTGTTTTTTCAATGTTCCCTGGACCCCCCCCCACTGGAAATGGAGGGCAAATTGGGGCATTCGGATTGGGTTGGGTTTGTTTGGTGGGTGGTGAGGATCGAGGACCCAGACTCGGGAGGCCGTTCTCGGACGCTTCGGGCCCATGCCTGGCGGCGGTTCCTGGGAGGTCCTCGCGCGAACGGGCAAGGGCTGCTGGACCCGATGCGGCGGCCCCCACGGCAGGAGCTGGACCACAAGAGAACCCCCACGGGAGACCTAACCCTGAGACCCCAGGACGTCCATTGGCTCTTGGTGTGGGAACGTCACGCGCTTCATAGCAAAACCATCGGAACCCAAGAAACCCTGGGCACCCTGCAGCCAAGCAGGGTGTTTCTTGGCATGGGTCTCCACTGTAAGCCGGATGAGTCCGGATTAAGCCCAGGAGCAAGACAGATTAAGCGGGCGCAAGCGGGATAGAGGCGGCACTAAGCCAGATTAGGCGTGTCTACGACTACGGATTACTCCAGCGCCGATGCTGCACTTCAGCTCCCAAGAGCTGCATCCTGACCTGCGGCGGCGCCCTCGTGGCCACGGCTTGGATCCGCCCCGAAAAGTTCTGGCCGGAGCGCGCCTGGCAAGGCTTCGGGATGCGCACAGACAGCCCCCCAGGTAGTCCTAGCTAGCCCCAGCACGCCAACCAGGACTACCTGGGGGGCGCTGTCTGTGCGCGATCCGAAGCCTTACCAAGCGCGCCCAGGAGGCGTGGATTCCACGGGCTCCGAGCAGGACCCCGAGGGGCTCCCCAGAGACCTCCCGGCAGGCCCCAAAGGAGACCCGAAAGGTCTCTTGTCCACGGCCCGGGCACACGTCCGAGGGCCCCTTCTACATGTGTAATCATCTATACATATATATATATATATATATATATTATAATATATATCCTCCTCCTCCTCCTCCTCCTCCTCCTCCTCCTCTCCTCCTCCTCCTCCTCCTCCCTCCTCCTCCTCCTCCTTCGCACCCCCAGACGTGTCGACAGGGCGGCCCGGACCGGGCGCGGTTGGGCACGATAAAGGGTTGTCAGGCGGTCGTCGTCCGATGGACCACTTCCTGCCATAAGAACACTTTCTTGTGGGGGCCGATGAAGAGGTAACTTGGGAGGCTTCATTGCAAGATCTCTGATGCGACTGAGGTTTGCGCTGATCCTCCTCCTCCTCCTCCTCCTCCTCCTCCTCCAACTCCAACTCCAACGCCTCCTCCTCCTCCTCCTCCTCCTCCTCCTCCTGCTCCTCCTCCTCCTCCTCCTCCTTCTCTCCTCCCTCTCCTTGCTCCTTTCCTCCCCCTCCTTCTCCTCGACCTCGACCCTGTCCGCATCCCCCTCCTCGTTCTCGTCCTCGACCTCGATCTCCTGCGCCTCCTCCTCCTCCTCCTCCTCCTCCTCCTCCTCCGCCTCCTCTCTTCCTCCTCCTCCTTATCCTCCCTTCCCCCTCCTCGACGTCATCGGTCTAGACCGTCTGAGCTTCGGCCTCCTCATCCTCCTCGATCACCTCGAGCTCAACCTCGACCTCAGCAGCCGCAGCAGCATCATCAGCATCATCAGCATCATCATGATCATCATCATCACCATCATCATCATCATCATCATCATCATCATCATCAGAATCATCATCAGCATCGGCATCAGCATCAGCATCAGCACCATCATCATCAGCATCATCATCACCATCATCATCAGCAGCACCATCATTAGCAACAGCATCATCATCACCATCATCACCATCGTCATCGACAACAGCAGCAGCAACAACAACATCATGACCATCATCAGCATCATCATCAGAAGTAGCAGAATCCTCATCATCAGCATCACGAGCCTTACCAGCATCACCAACTTCATCATCATCACCATAATCATAATCATCCTTATCATCAGCAGCATCAGTACAATCATCATCATCATCGTCGTCATCATCATCGTCATCGACATCGTCATCACCACCA